GGCGTATCTACACAAATCACACTTTCAAAAGCAATATGCAAAATGAAACACAGCCGTCCCTCAAAATTTGCACTTCTCTGAATTTTGCAATGCAAAATTCCAACCAAGGAATGTGTGAAAATAAAAAGGAAATAAATGCATAAACTGGGGTAAAGTGTGCATATTAATGAAAATTAGTGAAAATAACATAAAGTCATTATGTTTAGGAAAATGGCTGTGCAAAAATGTGTTTGTTGTGCAAAATTTCACCCATATGTGAGAAATTTACTGGTGATTTTTTTGAGGACTAAGAGAGAGAGAGAGATTTGCAAACTTGGGTGGGAAATGTGAAAAATGGAACTTAAGGCTAGAAAAGTGAGAACCAGAGTAAGACCAAAATGGGCTGATTCGCCCATCCCTAGTGGTGAAGCACATGGTTCCTTGTGGAAATTATTATTATACTACATTAAATTTGTATACCACGCTTCATCTGAAGATCCCAGGGTTGTTCACAACACAAAAATACAAAATGAGAATAGAAAATAACCAATGAGTCCTTGGTTGAACCATTAGAGTGGTGATGTGAAAGATCTTGTTGAACTACAACTCCCATCAGCCCCAGCCAGAAATTATGGCCAAATCTACTATTCCCAAAGTTCCCTTGGAAGATGAGCTGATTCTTAAACCACTCTGGCAATTGAAGCTCTGTGCACTCTCAGCACCCTTCATAAACTACAGTTCCCAGGATTCTTTGGGGGGAGCCATGACTGTTTAAAGTAGTATCATTTGTGTTTTAAATGCATAGTGTAGATGCGGCCTTCATTACTGATTTCTAAGTAGGAACGGACAAATTTTGGTTTCTCTCTGTTTCTCATTTTTCGGAGCATACTTTTTTGTAAGCCTCTTTCAGGGTTTTCCTTTTACAATCAAGCGGTTTATAAATAAAAGTTCAGCACTCCACATTTCCATCTCAGTTTGCAATTTATTTGTTTCTTTTAAAAGCCCTCCTAAGAATTCATCAACATTTTAACGCGAGTCTCTTCCATAAAAAATCTGTATACAATTCTGCCCAATATACACGTTTTTGCAAAGTTATTTCCCATAGAATGTTGCATTTTGTATGTTTATCATCACAAATATCTGCAGTTTTGTACACATCACCACGATGCAAAATCCGGAGACGTGAGGATTTTGAAGGGCAGCTGCATGTTGGCCCATGAATTGCGCCAAAAAAGTGTGAGCGAAGCAGATTTGCTTTTAAATCCAAACTGAATCAGATTTCCCACCGACACCACCGAGAACTAATTCCAGAAATAGAAAAGGTTACTGCAGCTTGAATTTCCTTCCATTTATTCTGGTCTTTTATTCCACTCCTCCTTACTGATGTGCACAAGCGATCCCCGACATCATGCAGAATCGCACGAGTGCATCAAAATGGCTTTTTGTGTGTGCCGCGTTTAATCGATGTGTACAGGGGCTCGTTTGCAGCTTTGGGTGGAGGGGGGCAGGGAGGAGAAAAGCCAAGGATGAACGGAAGGAAATCAAAACTCTGGCCAACTGCCTAGACTTGGCAAACGGAGGACCTTCACAAAGTACAGAGTTAAACTATGGAATTTTCTCCCACAAGCAACAGTGAGGGCCACCAACTTAGATGAGGATGTAACCAACTCACGGAGGAGAAAGCTATCAATGACTACCAGCTCTTAGGGTTATGCTTTACCTCCACTGCTGAATACAAAGCTCCTGGGAGTCAGAAGTGGGGAAAGTTGTTGTGCTTAAAGGGACCCCTAACCATTAGGTCCAGTCATGACCGACTCTGGGGTTGTGGCGCTCATCTTGCTTTACTGGCCGAGGGAACCAGCGTACAGCTTCTGGGTCATGTGGCCAGCATGACTAAGCCGCTTCTGGTGAACCAGAGCAGCGCACGGAAATGCCGTTTACCTTCCCGCCGGAGCGGTGTCTATTTATCTACTTGCACTTTGACGTGCTTTCGAACTGCTAGGTTGGCAGGAGCAGGGACCGAGCAACGGGAGCTCACCCTGTCGCAAGGATTCGTTGTGCTTAGGTCCTGCTAGTTTGGTCATGTCCACAGAATGGAAGATGGTAGGTTCCCCCAAGGATGTGCTCTATGGGGAGCTGGCTTCAGGCCCCAGACCCATTGGCAGACCAACTCTCTGCTACAAAGATGTCTGCGAACATCACATGAAGGCTGGCAAAATCTATCCCTTGCAGTCAACCACAGTGCCTGGAGACAGGCAGCCAAGTTGTGCATCCATAGCAGTGACCAGAAGAGGAATGACCACTGGGAAGAGCGCAGAGAGAAGAAACGTCATGGTGCATCTGCAGCAGCACAACCGGACACCTCCATTTGCCCCAGCTGCAACAAAGCATGTCTCTCCCATATTGGTCTCTACAGCCACAGTAGGCGCTGCAGCCTTCCAACGGTTTGACTTCACTCCCAAAGACGCACTCCTTCGTTGTCTCCCGAGATAGGAAAGCAGGAGAAATGTTGGATATACAGTGGTACCTCGGGTTGCATACGCTTCAGGTTACAGACTCCGCTAACCCAGAAATATTACCTCGGGTTAAGAACTTTGCTTCAGGATGAGAACAGAAATCGTGGTCCGGTGGTGCGGCGGCAGCAGGAGGCCCCATTAGCTAAAGTGGTGCTTCAGGTTAAGAACAGTTTCAGGTTAAGTACGAACCTCCAGAACAAATTAAGTACTTAACCTGAGGTACCACCGTAACCTAATTTTTCTCATTCTTATGAGGTGGGTAGGGGCAGAATATAATACACATTTATAAAATGATGCATGGGTGGAAACAATATTTTTAAAAAGAGAGTTTTTCACCCTAACTCATAGGATTTGAACTCAGGATCACCCAATGAAGCAGAATGTTGGAAGAGTCAGTACAGACAAAAGAAAGGGCTTTTCAACGCAGTGCATAGTTAAACTATGGAGCTCGCTTCCGGAAGAGGGAGAAATGGCCACCAACTTGGATGGCATGAAAAGGAGTAGACAAATTCATGGAGAAGATATAAATGACTACTAGCCCAAATAGCTATGCTCTGCCTCCACAGCTAGAGGCAGCAATACTTCCTAACACCACTACAGTGGTACCTTGGGTTACATACGCTTCAAGTTACAGACGCTTCAGGTTACAGGCTCCATTAACCCAGAAATAATACCTCAGGTTAATAACTTTGCTTCAGGATGAGAACAGAAATTGCGCGGTGGCAGCAGCAGGAGGCCCCATTAGCTAAAGTGGTGTTTTAGGTTAAGAATGGACCTCCAGAATGAATTAAGTTCTTAACCTGAGGTACCACTGTAATCCCCCTTTCCTAGGTCAGTTGCATGATGAAGCACAGATGATTTTTAACGAGGGTAGATGTCATGACTTCTGAACCCAGCAGTGATCTGGACACAGAGTTGGAGGATGGGGAGCCAGGTCCGGGCTCAGAGCTGATGGCAGAAGGCAGCGAGACCAGTGTGCCAGAACCTGGACCTTCATGGACACCTTTCCTAGGAAGCAATAGGCCAGAGCCAATGTTGCTTGAAGGAGGTATACAAGGTATACAAAGCTCGCTCAGAGCTGTCTATGGTCCAGCAATCTTTGACCAGTCTTGTTGCTTTCTCTGTGGGCTCCTGCATTGGAGCAGAACATTACAGTAGACGACCTGCCTATACCTTTCCTGCTGTCGGAGCCACAAGTAGGTTTGGAGATGCCCTGAGCAAAGCACGCTTTAGTGGGCCCTCTTCCTCCCCTGGTGAGGTGGACCACTAGTCAGCTTGTTGGGCCCTGGAACTCCCATTTAAATTTTGTACCCAACCTGGTTGTCAGTCAGTCAGTCAGTCTCTCTCTCCGTATATATTTCACCACAACTTCCAGCATCCCTTAACTTTTCATGGTGTCTGGAGTTGATGGGATCTGTACTCCAAAACCTCTGGAAAGCACCAGATATGGGGCTGTGCCCAGTGTTAGCCCTATTCAAAACAGACTTCTTGAGATTGAGGTACATGGCTAATTTAGCTTCGTTAACTTCAATGAGTCCACTCTGAGTAGGACTCGGAGATAATTCTAGGGAAGGCTGCTCTGCAGCACTGCAGGAAATTCAATTGGCACTTTCTGGCCGCAGATGGTTTTTCAAAGGCTGATACAGAGCAAGTGTCAGTGGTTGGTGCTGCTGGGATACTGAAGGTCTGGCACCAGGTCTTCCCAACATCTCTGCCCCAGAGCAGGAAGTGGATGATAATCTGATGAGTACCATTATCAACCAAAAGTTGGGGGAAGAGACTTGGGCAATCCAGCCATGTTAACCCAGAAAAAAGTCCACCTTGAGTCCAGTGTCACTTACATTTGTACCATACATTTAAAGTGGTGCCATACCACTTTAATAGTCCTGGCTTCCACTGAAGAATCCTGGGAACTGTAGTTTAAGAGTGTTGAGAGTTGTTATGAGAACCCCTAACTCCCTTCGCAGAGCTGCAATTCCCAGACTTTCCTGGAAAGAGGGATTGACTGTAAACCACTCTGCAGGTCGTGGCTCTATAAGGGCAACAGGGGTCTCCTATCAACTCTCAGGATTCTTTTGGGGAAGCCATGGCTGATAAATAGTGCTTTAAGTGTATGGTACAGATTGGGGGCGGGTCGGTCTTACTCCCAAGAAAGTATACAGAGCTTCCCAGCCTTAGCTGAACAGATAGACTAATCAGCTCTCTGGCAACAAATTAACCAATGAAATAGCACATTGATTTAAATTGGATTGGACTGAATTCACTTTGCAGATGACCAAAACCTCAGTTAAATCACCTTTTTGCAAGGTTTTGTTTATTAAATGATAAACGACCATTCCAAACGGGTTGAGTTTTTAAAATTTTCTTTTAATGCTATTATTACAACAGGGCTGCATTTATAGACCCGCCTACTCGGGAGTAAGCCCTGTCAAATACAGCGAGGCTTATGCCTAAGTGGATATGCACAAGACTGTGTTGTAAAATATCCCAACCTCTTGTTTGCAGGTGTGCAGATTAAAAATTTGCCTTCGCCAAGTGGAATGGAACCTCAATCTTCATCAGCTTCTGCGGCTCTGATTGATTAGCCAAACCATGTAAACCGACTGGTGTTTTTGCAGCTTCGGTGATGAGGTCTTCAAAGGAAAGACAGTGCGGCCCAGGATTGTTATGCAGGCCAATGAATGTCTACTCAAAAGTAAGTCTCCCTGGCTTACTCCATATAAGCATCTTTAGCACTGTGGTCTGGGCCTGGGCCAACAATTCCAGGTTTGAAGATGTAATGGACATCTTTCCTCTGTCAGTAGACCTAGGCACATCAGAAGAGCCCTGCTGGATCAGGCCAAAGGCCCACTGAGCCCAACATCCTGTTCTCATGGTGGCCAACTAGATGTCTCCGTGGGAAGTCCCCAAGCAGGATCTTGGCGCAACAGCAACTCTCTGACAGAGGAGGCAGGACACAGCCATCATGGCTAGTAGCCGCTGCTGGCCTTCTCCTTTGTGAATTTGTCCAATCCTCTTATAAAGCCATCCTAGTTGGTGGCCATCACTGCCCCCTATGGGAGCGAATCCCATACTTTGCACTGCCTGGAGAAATACTTCCTTTTGACAGTGATATTCAGACACACTTTGAACTTCCCAGAATACCCAAGGATGATTTTGGGTTACAGGCCTTGTGGGAAATGGAAAGGGTGTCTTGATTCAGCTGCCCAGTGCAACTTAGACGGACAGGGAGAAAGCCCACCAGAGGATGCTTTGCTCAGACCGACAACAAGCCCAGCCTATGGCATTTTGTGCATATAAACCTATATGTCCAAACATGTACAGGCATGCGCATACAAGCAAATATTACATGCAGCAATGGGGAAGCTTATTTCAGCCCAAGGGCCACATTCCCTGCTGGGCAACCTTCCAGGGGCCACATGTCAATAGTGCGTGGAGCAACAGATGCAAATTATGCCTTTGTACAGGAGACTAATTTCTACGCACATATTCTCACACCCCTCTGCATCCTCCACCCAGGCAAGCAGAAAGGCAGGATCAGAGTTCAAGGGCACATTCCAGCCAGGCAAAAACACTCAAGGAGGGCCAGTGAGGCGTATGGAGGGGGGAGATTTCTGAGGGCCAGACAGAGAGGCCTGAGGGTTCCCTACTCCTGATTAAATGCATGGATGCATACAGAGATCTTTCTCAGTCTCTCTCCTCCCTAATTTAAGGTATACCTTTGCCCTTCCAGGAAATCTGCGGCTGGTGATGCTCCATTCCTGCACTCTAAGCCCGTATCACTGACCAATATCTCCACAGCTCCAAACACGAGAGCCATCACATCCTTTCTGGTGGGTGGTCTCTGCGGCATAACCCTGTCCCCCGCCATCTCAGACACACACGCGTGGCTGCAGATGACCTTGATGTCTCCCCATCCTTGAGTTCTCTCCTTTTCCCTCCTCGCTTAGTCGCTAAAAAAAAAACGTCTTTGGGGAGCAGGAGGAGAAACGAGACCCCCCCTCCAGCTTAATCAATATGAGTTCTCTCCCTCTCTTTATTATTATTATTATTTAAATAATATTTATAATGTTTTGCTTCTTTTGCCATTCCGGACGTCTTCTGGCTTGCCTTTCTAGACGAGGCTTCTTGACACCACCCATCTTTCCTTTATCTGTTCTCACGCCCAGCTGAGATCCCTCCGGATGAATGGATGTGTGTGCGTGCGTGCCCCTTTGTACAACACCAGGCGTTCAAGTCTCTGCGATTGGAGGGACCCAGCCAGACAAAACACACACACACAGTCTTTTGGTGTGTTTTTTTTAAGGCTGGGCGGTATACCATATTTCCACTCCTTGTAGAAGAGGATGGCATTGAGCCCCCATCCTCCGTAGAGGGGATCCTCAGGCCTGCATCCTAGATTCTCCTTTCCCCAAAACACTACCTATGCCGCTAGACCTCATGAGGCTCATTAAGGGGGACAAGGCTGTTTGCATCGGACAGAACCGCCTTTCCGCGGATCCATTTGATCACCCCTGCTTCCTGGATCCGTCTGTCTCTTTCCCACCTCCCTTAATGAGATTAGAGGGGGAAGAGCCTTTGTAAGGCAAGAAGAGAGTCCTAGACAGGCTTCCCTCCCTCTCCCCCCCTCTCTCTTTTTCTCTGCCAGAGCCAGCTGCTCATCTTACAGGGACTAGAGGCTTAAAAAAAAAAATCATTATCAAGATGTTGAGGGGGGTGGCTTGAAAAACGAAGCCCCCCTTTTCCCTACCAAACCTACCATTATGTTCCACGGCAACTCGTGTGTGTGTGTGTGTGTGTGTGTGTGTGTGAAATCCTCCATGAAAGCTGTTGAATTCTTCCATGCGGTTTTTGCACAGACCAAACCTGAATCTCTCTCTCTCGCCTGCATTCTAAGGGCAGGACATCATGCATTTCGCCCCCAAAAAAGGGGGAACGCGGGGAGAAGAGGCATTTTGCTCCTTGCGCAACCCAACCCAACCCAACCACGACCATTTCTTCCTTTCCCCGCCTTTAACAACGAATAAATTAAACAAACCCCTGTCACTCTGTGTGTGTGTGTGTGTGTGTGTGTGTGTGTGTGTGTGTGTGAGACGCCAACCTGCTTCCAAACCGCGACGCCGAACGCACCCCGTACAAACGCCAAAAGCAGGTCACGGTTTGGGTTGGGGGGGGGAAGGATGGAGAAAACCGGCTCCGAGGGGAGACCTGGTCCAGCCCCATCAAGACTGCGCCTTGTTCTTGGGCGGGGAACCAGAGCGGGGTGGGGTGGGGGGCGGCGGTTTAATCCGAATCGATTTCAGCGCGAGCCGTTTTGCAACCGTAACAAGAAAAAGAGACGGAGATCAGCGAGACTCTTTCTTACCGGAATCGGGGCGAATCCTTGATGCACTCCTCGAATTCGACCGTCATCTTGGCTTCTTTTTTTCCCCTTCTTCTTCTTTTTTGGAGGGATGGGGGTAGGGGTTAGGGATTGGGAGAGGGGGGTGGAAGAGAAAGCGACTCAAAATCCGGAGAGGCGCATCTCCTGCGGCAGCGAGCCCCGCGCACAGCCTCGCCACCCGGCGCCCTGCTTGCCTCCAGCGGCGCGGGCTGAGCGCAGGAGGAGCGGCGGCAGCGCCAGTCCGTCGGCGCGCACGCTCTCGCCTTGGCGCGCGGCTCCCTCCCTCCCTCTCTCCCTCCCTCCCTCTTTCTCCTTCCTGGGCTGTCAGGGGGGTTGGCTGGGGAACGAGCCAGCGAGCGAGCGAGCTGCAGAGCTTGCCAAAGAGTTGTGTCACACATACACACCAACACACCCAGGGAGCATCTACCAATTACCTTGGAGAGCAGAGGAACACAGGACGGAATCGGAGCGCGGTTTTTTTTGTTTTTTTTACTTATAGAATTATAGAGTTGGAAGGGACCCCTGAGCATCATCTAGTCCAGCCCCCGGCCATGCAGCAGGAATATGTCGCTATCCCACATGGAGATCACGCCTGCAACCTTGGCATGATCAGCACCACCAACCAACCGAGCTATCCAGAGCTTATTTATTTTATGGCTCCATTCATGGAGCTCAAGGTGGTGTGCATGGTTCTACCCCTCCTCCTTGAATCCCAGCAACAACCCTGTGAGGTAGGATAGGCCGAGAGGCTTCCAAGCAGGGGTGCCCATTATGGTGGGGCCATAGCTGTCAACTTTTCCCTTTTTTTAAAGGGAAATTCCCTTATTTCGAATAGGATTCCTTGCAAGAAAAGGGAAAAGTTGACAGCTACGGCCCCACCCTGCATAATCACATGACATGGCACTTGCACACGATTTGAATGGCAATGCCCATCAAATTTGAAGGGGGATGGCCCCTCAAATATTTTAGGGGGGGCAAAGGGACCTCAGCCCCTAGGAGTTGGCCCCTATGCTTCCAAGGTCGCCGCCAGTGAGCTCCAGGACTGAGTGGCAGAATTGAACTCTGGCCTCCCAGAGTCTTCTTCCGGCATTCAAACCACTACTACACCACATTGGTTGTCGTTTGTCCATCTGAGCTCTGACTGGCAGCCACTCTCCAGGGATTGGGGCAGGGTGCCTTTCCCCAGAAATGTCATTGGGGATTGGGCCTGACAGTGCCACAATATTAAGTAGATGCTCTGCCCCTGAACAGAAGGAGTGCTGGGGCAGATAAATAAATAAAATACAGTGGTACCTCGGGTTATGTACTTAATTCGTTCCGGAGGTCCGTACTTAACCTGAAACTGTTCTTAACCTGAAGCACCACTTTAGCTAATGGGGCCTCCTGCTGCTGCCACACCACCGGAGAACGATTTCTGTTCTCATCCTGAAGCAAAGTTCTTAACCCGAGGTAATATTTCTGGGTTAGCGGAGTCTGTAACCTGAAGCGTATGTAACCTGAAGCGTATGTAACCCGAGGTACCACTGTAATGTCGTTAACATGGGACAATAATAAATAGGACAGTTTAGGGCATCCTCTGCTAACCCGGTGCCCGACAGATGTTTGGAGCTGGCAGGAGTTGTGGCCCAAAATATCTGGAGGGCAACCAGCTTTGCTGCAGGCTGATTTAGAACACGATGCTGCTGCTGCAGTTTACCGTATTAACTCCATCTGATTTCAGCAGAGACCCATGCCCTCGACATTTGTACGGTGTTTGAGAGGGTTCCAAGCACTTTGCACAGGTTAATCTGTTGCCCTGCCTACAACAAGCCTGTGAGGTAGACTGAAAGGATTGGAAGGGGCCAGTTTAACAGCACCTGGTTTGCTGACAAGATGCCCCAGGTTCATTCCCTGGCATCTCTGAGCAGGGCTCAGAGAGGGGGGACCCTGTCTGAAACTCTGGGAAGTGGATACCAGTCAGTGCAGGCCGTACTGAGATAGATCAGCTTTCCCCAACCTGTGGGTTGCCAGCGCGTCACAATCCTATGCAAGTGGGTCGCTGGCTTTGTAAGTAAACCCCAAATAATAATTGTTTGTAATCCCTAACTAGCAGGATGGGCACCTCTCGCAACTTTCCTGTTTCGTTGTCAAGTCGTAAAGGCTAGATGACCTTTGGTGTCTCTTCCAACTCTACAGTTCTATGATTTTATGACATCTGTGACAATAAATCGATGGGTCATGGTGCCAAGCGATTCTGGCCTTGAGGGCCACCACACCAAAAAGGCTGGGAGCCACTGAAATAGATGGACCATTGGTTTGACTTGGGAAGGCCTATCCTTGGAGGAGGTGGTTTGTTGCGTCTCTATAGGGTTGACTATATTATTATTATTATTATTATTATTATTATCAGTTAAATTCTATACCACCCTTCATTTGAGGATCACAGGGTGGTTTACAATATAAAATACAAAAATATTTGCAATATAAAAAGACAAAAATGCATACCATAGTAGCAAACAAAAGCAATAGCCCCCACCCCAGACAGGGATGTGCTGGAATATGATAGATCCTCGCTGCGTTGCTATACTTCATAAAGATGCAGTAGAAACATGAGATAATGAAATATACAAATGTTTCAAGTCAACTTCTCTAACTGCCCATGTTTAAAGTCCTGATATTATTATTATTATTATTATTATTAGATGTAGGTTTGGCTTTTTCCAATCAATCTCCACTGGCGCTGGGCAAATGCTGCCAAGTCTCTGCCATGGGTGTGCAATTGCCTTGCTCCCAGCGAAAGGTGGAGTAGGATCCTAGTTGCAGGAGTCATTGCTCTGGGCTCAATTCCTCACAATCAGGAGACACTCCACAGAGAAGCAATGTGGTCTCTCTTAACAGTAGGTAGCCCACCTTCCTTCCTTCCTTCCTTTTTAAAGAGCAGATAGACTTGAAAGGGTGGGCAGTGGTTGCTGCAATCTCTGAAATGACTTTGTCTGTGTATGGTTTGTTGCCCTGCTGTTCCGCACTCGGAGAAGGAAGCTTTTGGGGCATCCTGGTGAGACATGCCTTCGATCGAGGCCATCAGGGCTCTACATGGCAGAAGGCAGATGTCATCATGCTCTAAACCAGGAGCTTCCTAAGCCCCCCAGCACTTCAGCAGCCCAGAAGGGACACAGAGGGCGCGCCCGTCCCTGGACTCTGTGAATGGAGCGGCTCACACACAGATCAGATTAAATTAATCTGGGGTGGCTGAAAAGTAATAAAAAGTGCTGTATGTGCTGGTTTAATCCTGATCCTCCCGCACATCGTCAGCAGAAGCTGTGGGAACATTTTCTGTGCACTGAGCGACACACACAAACAGAACCGATTGCATAAGTCCTCTGGCAGGTTGCATCAAGCACATCTGTTTAAAAGGCTGATATATTGGAACCTTTGGGGATGAATAGGTTTTTCTTCTTGAAAGTAGCACAGGCCTTGTAGAAATCAGACCCAAATGTTGCCAGGAAATTAGATTTCTTCCACTGGTGTATTAATCTGAGTACACCTTGACCAGGAGTAGATTGGTACCAGAACTTTTTGTTTTTATTTATTTGCCACAGTTTTTATCCTGCTGGAGGGACAACACATCCATTATCCTCCCTCATCTCATTTTAAACTCACAACTGTTGGAAGTGCAACAGCAAGGATCATTCAGTTTGTAATTTAAGGGTTAATTCTGTTACGTTAAAGTCAACCAGCCAAGAGGGAAAACAGGTGGGGAGGCACTACTTAGCAGTCGGGCAGAGTGGCGTGATCTCTAGTGAGGTAGCATGTGCGCCGACTGGCTACATAGTTCTGGAGATTTCCCTCTGTATACAGTGGTGCCTCGCAAGACGAAATTAATTCGTTCTGCGAGTTTTTTCGTCTTGCAAATTTTTCGTCTTGCGAAGCACGGTTTCCCATGGGATATAGGGTATTAACAGTTTTAAGAAAAAGGAAACAAACTTGCAAGACGTTTTCGTCTTGCGAAGCAAGCCCATAGGGAAATTCGTCTTGCGAAGCAACTCAAAAAACCAAAAACCTTTTCGTCTTGCGAGTTTTTCGTCTTGCGAGGCATTCGTCTTGCGAGGCATTCGTCTTGCGAGGTACCACTGTCGTTGGTTCTATGCCTCCCTGCTATGTACAAAGCCTGTAGTGTGAAAGGCAAAAACCTCTCTGTTAATTTCTCCTGAATTATACACTGTTTATGTTCAGTTTCTTCAGTAAAGTGTTATCAGGGTTTCTTTTCCCTCTGGACTCTCTTCGCATTATCCAAGTGGCTTTGCTTACAACAACAGGACCCTGTAAAGTAAGTTACTACGTGACACTGAATAGCCCATGATCACTCAGTGAACTTCATGACGGAGTATGGATTTGAACCACAGGTTCATCCTTGATTCTCTAAGCAATACCCTTGTGCGTACTCCGCATCGAGAAATTCAGATTCTCAATTCTGCACTGCATAAATTATACAATGTTGCACTCTCCCGGCATAAATTATGTAAAACACAAAATATTCAGGATAGATTCTGATCCATCCTGAATATTTGCTGTTTTTGCATAATTTATGCCCTGTTCCTCAACCGCTGCAAATCGAATTCAGCCATTCTTGTTTCTTAGATTTCAGTGTGCCTTTCACACATGCTGAAATCTCAAAGCGACTTACAGTGGTACCTTGGGTTAAGTACTTAATTCGTTCTGGAGGTCCGTTCTTAACCTGAAACTGTTCTTAACCTGAAGCACCACTTTAGCTAATGGGGCCTCCCGTTGACGCCGTGCCGCCGGAGCATGATTTCTGTTCTCATCCTGAAGCAGGATGAGCCTCATCCTGAAGCAGGATGAGCCTTCTCATCCTGAAGCAAAGTTCTTAACCCAAGGTACTATTTCTGGGTTAGCAGAGTCTGTAACCTGAAGCGTATGTAACCCAAGGTACCACTGTACAAGAATGCAGGTGGAGGGCTTGAACCCGCAGGTGGGCGAGAGTGCCTATATTACGCGAAGAAGACTGTATGTGGCCTGCAAGTTTCAGCCCAGCTGGAGCTGGCAGCAAATTATAGCGCAGATGGTCTGTGGGATGATCTGCCCTCCTCTATTCCCCTGTCCCAATTAATTGCTGTCTCCCAGGCCCACCCCTGGGACATCACCCTAGGTCTCAGATTTGGGCCCTGAAATATCTGGGTCTGGGATTCTCCTGATTTGGGGATGTCCATGGATGATGGCAGATGCGGCACAACATCTGAGGACCCAAGGCTGGGAAAGACTGC